GTTGCAGATGCCTCACTTATGACTCAGATTGGTCGGAATAATAACAGATCAGCAAGATGCGTACGTAGTATATGCACTATAAAAGAAATGTGAACAAAAGTCGAATATTTTCAAAATCGAAACTCAAAATTCTATTAGATCAGTTATGATGTGCGCATAAAAGATCTTTATCTGTCACGCCTTCTAAAGCGGCTAGGGTGTAATTGACTTTCGTGCACGCTTAAACTAAATACAATTTAGCGAGAAACCATTCGGAGAAAGATCGATCCTGCCAGTACGATAGGGTATGGGAATGGTTCCTTTCTGTGATAAGTGAATAAGTACCCGCGGCTGTGTTATGGCATATTGGCAGAATCCTTCGTATCACATTCATATTTCACGATAAATACATTGCAAACAATTCAAAGAAATATGATCAATCTCATTTTTTCATTAATAAAGCAGTTATCACAATAAATTACGGAATTTGTGCTTGCTATCAGACCACGTGGACCTTCACAGGTGGCTATACCTCGGTAATATTCTAACTTTGGACTACCTTTGCATGTAAGAAGGGATTTTTTAACGATTTGTAGATTAAAAAAATCCGTTTTAATGGCCAAACCGAACAGTTGTTATCCCTTTAAATACAATATGAACTGTATGCAACGATAGTGGAGTTCAATGCTCCCCTGAAAAGGCATAAATAGAAACAGGCATCAAACGAACATAAGCCTGTGTAGGTAAAACTTACGTAAAGTGTAAAATTCGGTGCTAAAGGAGGAAGCCTGTGCATAGTGCATTTCAGGGTTCGGACCCCCCCCCCCCCAAAAAAAAAAAATAATAATAAAAAAAAGATTAAGCTCTGAAATGAGTAAAAAAAATGCCACAAATACGTTCAGGTGTACGTGATTTCAACAAAAATGGGTAAAAATATTAATGGGCGTGAAATCATGTTTGGCAGTGCTTTTGAACTCTAAAAGACAAAAAAAGACAAAAAAAATACAGTATTCAATATCATTATCTTATTCGGACCATTTGAATACGAAAATAAATGCTGGGGGAACTGCGGAGTCCATTTACTAAAGCCAATTTAGAGAATAATTAAAGCATCGAGGTCGTAATGCCGCCATAGTTTTCTGATATCTGTGCGGTTGACACTGGTAAAATACTTCTCCCAGATCTCTGAGGAATAATGCTGCCGGGCTTTAGATGATGGAAAGTCGAACAAGTCCGCGACCCCTAGCAGCTCCAGCATCATTTTGACGTCACGACTCAGTGTTTCCCACCTGATGATGACGTCATAGTGAACCTCACATGGACTGCACAATCGATTATAACTTTCAAAATGGATGTCATAGTCTTTTCTCGGGTCCAGAGATGAAATATACTTCACAAAGGCCGGAAACGAAACTCCCTCTTTTCCTGCGAGCTTTCCAGGAGATGGTTTGACCTCAAACATTTTTGCAATCTTTTTGGCAGTTTGGGGATATACAACATCATTCGTGACACCCTCAACCTTGTCTCTGTAGGCTGATACAAGTCGTTCTAGCGGGTGGCGCACTAGGATGACTTTTAAGTATGTTTTTAGTCGAAATTGAACACCAAACGGCGAAAAATGCTCCAATCTTGGTAGATATTTCCTGTAACTGGTGACCAAGCTTCCCCGATTATCGCCAAATTTAAAGTAATTCTCCTTATCTATATTGCCAGTCAAAGCATAGAGCAGGCGTTTGGAGTTTGTGCAACCGACTTTAGGGATGGCGCAAAAAATCAAGCGGTGCCTGTCGTCAACGAACATCACGTGAGTAAACGGCCCTTTATTTGCAGTGCTGCCGTCTAGTGATCTATTTGTCTTTCGGCACGAGGCTTCCATATGATTAACTCGGCGTTTCATTTCTTCTTTCCAGGAGTCAGGAACGCTAGACCAATTAAAATGCTAGGGAAAAAGTGTAAATTGTTCAAACGCATTGATAGAAAGATTGATACCTTAAAGGAACAGAATGTACATTTGACTTTGACAGTGAAAAATTAAGGGAAGCAGTTGGCGGCTCATATACGGCCTATAGGCTGCATGTCAACAGGTTATTTCGTTGTAAGGCTTGGGATACTGACGTAGACGCCAACTAAGTGAAGAGTTAGAATTTCGATAAGAGATGGACCGAAAGAACCCCCCTACTAAAAAGTATTTAATCTCTTTTATATATGGGGCACCGACTTTACACTTCAGCGGTTTCCCACAAATCAAGGTGCGTTTCTCATCAACTGCTTCACTTCTTTAAAAATTCATTTTGAAGAAACCAAGTAAACTTCGATAAAGTATAAAATAGAGTTATCATAAAAACTGTAGGGCCTACAAAACTACCTGACATTTAAGCCTGGGAACAAACTAGATGCTACATAAAACATTTTCTCTATTAGGCCTACAATGTGTTCACACATGTTGTAGCTGTTTGAAACCCACCTTTCGCCCAAGTTTCGTATTTTCCTTACTCCCAAATGACACTAAAAACAACAGAAATTAAAAACAAAATGAAAATCATCCAAATCATAAGATCTCTATTTCAATTGATTTATGGTTTCAGTATGTACACTAATTATTTATATTCCATTTAATAAGATTAAAATATTGCAAAGGAGAGAGAGAGAGAGAAAGAGAGAGAGGAGGGGCCACGGACCTTTATTTTTTATCTTTGGGACCATATCCTTACTCACAAAGGACACTAAAACAATAGAAAATAAAACGTATGAAAATCATACAAATCATATGATCTCTACCCCATTAAGATAAAAGAACCGTTTTAGTTTCTATAGTATGACAACCAATTATTTATATTCGATGTGATAAGATCAATATACTACAAAGGAGAGAGAGAGAGAGAGGAGTTCACGTACCTTTTGGTAATAACTCAGGAACCATAACATAGCTAACCACGACAAGGAGACACAACAAAGTGAAAAATCTATAGTAGAGTGGGAACTTGTATGTTGACCTCATCTTCCTATAAAAATTACTAAATGCCAGAAACTTATCTTTCAATTCAGCACGTTTTAGACCAAACACAACATTGCCTGTCTACAGTTTCAGGATGGTTTATGAAACGAAGAGAAGAATCTGAGTAATGTGTACAGTCAGCAATTCCATATTATGATCTATTAGGGCGCATTCCCATAGATTTTAGATCGATCTATCCCCGTGGGGAGTCTCACTAGATTACTGTCAGATAATCCGGCTTAAATGTCCGTCCCGCCTACTACAAGCTGTAACTTAAGGGGGTAATTAACTTTCGTTCCCGCTCGGCTGACAGCTATTTAGCGTGAAACCCCAGGGAGTTAGGTCGATCTAATTGGATCGATCTTATCTCTGGGAATGGGATCTTAGACTTGGTGAACGCTTTGATAGAGAATGAAAGTACGGAGGACCTCCACTACAAGAAATATGCAGATCATCCAATCATCTTTGCTGGTCCGAATTAATAATATATTTTGTTTCCTTTAGTCTTTGTTTACATGTGATTTATTATTATGAATAGTATTTTTATACATGTATAAACCTTGCTAGTCCAGGGGACCTGTGATATTAAAAATATTGCGGGTCCTCTGGCATTTCAAGTGGTCTTGACCTGTCGGGCAGGCAGTTAAAACATACTGCACTGAATAACGACTTATACCGCTGATACACATCTGAAATCATTTGCTGACGGAGCGTGTGAAATTGATATATATACATGTACATGTATGATAATTAAGACTAAGCGTTTGAAACGTGAAAATTAAAATGATCAATTATAAGCAAACACATTAAAAATTCAAGTGAAATATTAGTCAAACCGAGAAATAGCTAAAGGGTAATTACTCGTTAAAAAAAACATCTTGCTTTCTTTAAATGAAACGAATTCCGAATATCGTTGTATATTACCTGTATTGCCTGCGAACGTGCAATGTGCCTATCCGTTTCCACGTCGCTCTACTTAATTGCTAATAAATATTTAATTTTTTACACGGGTCTGGCCTGTTTGAAATGAACAATTTATTCAAAAATGAACATCGTGCGATTTTTTGTTAGCTGTAGGGTATTTCAAAATGATGAATATCATAATATTTTTTTGCTATTTATTTTCCATCTTGCTGAAACACACCCTGTCTACATCTTGCTCTTTCTCTCCATCTACCGCTTTAAAATGTGTAGGTCATAGTTTGCGCATAAACAGACACAACAGAGTTCGTCTTATTTGTGAAAAGAAAAATGTTTCTAATATTGAAGATGAATAACATTTTAATTTACTAGTACGGTTTATGTGTATATAAGGGCAAAATATTTATCATTGGTTCATCCCACTAAGGTATGCTGTATATATTAATGATCTCAGATATTGCACAATTAAAGGGATAACAACTCTTCGCATGAGATCCATATTTCACAATAAATACATCGTAAACAACTAATAGAATTATAATCAATTCTATTTTACTACAAAACGCCGGTTATAGCAATTATTCTGGAATCTTTGCTTGCCACTGGACCACGTGACCCCCCCCCCCCCCCCCCCCCAAAAAAAAAAAAAAAATAAATAAATGAAAATAAAAAATAAACAGGGACTAACTTGGAATGTAGGAATGGATTCATTAACCAGTGGTAAGCATGGGAAAATCGTCGTTTACCCCAGGAAAATCCGGGCATCAAACCAGGCATCAAACGAACATATGCCTGTGTAGGTACAATTTATGTACAGTGTAAAATTGTTGTAAAAGGGGGAATGCGTGCACATAGAAGATTTCGAGTGTCCGGCACACATCCCCAATTAAAAAAATAAAACTCTGAAGGGAGTAAACTGCATGTCACAAACACGTTTAGGTGCACGTGATTAAAACCAATATGGTTGAACTATTAATGAACGTGCATTTAAGTTTGGCAGTGCTTTTGATTTCTAAAAGACAAAAATACACTATTCCATGTTATTATCTTATTCGGACCATTTGAATACGAAAATAAATGCTGGAAACACTGCTGACTCCCTAGACTAAAGCCAATTTAGGGTATAATTAAAGAGGCGCGCATCGAGGTCGTAATGCCGCCATAGTTTTCTGATATCTGTGCGGTTGACACTGGTAAAATACTTCTTCCAAATTTCTGTGGAATGCTGCCGGCCTTCGGATGTTGGGAATTCGAATATGTCCGCGACCCCTAGCAGCTCCAGCATCATTTTGACGTCACGACTCAGTGTTTCCCACCTGATGATGACGTCATAGTGAACCTCACACGGACTGCACAATCGATTATAATTTTCAAAATGGCCGTCATAGTCTTTTTTCGGGTCCAGAGATGAAATATACTTCACAAAGGCCGGAAACGAAACTCCCTCTTTTCCTGCGAGCATTCCAGGAGATGGGTTGACCTCGAACATTTTTGCAATCTTTTTGGCAGTTTGGGGATATACAACGTCATTAGTGACACCCTCAACCTTGTCTCTGTAGGCTGATACAAGTCGTTCTAGCGGGTGGCGCACTAGGATGACTTTTAAGTATCTTTTTAGTCGAAACTGAACACCAAACGATGAAAAATGCTCCAATCTTGGTAGATATTTCCTGTAACTGGTGACTAAACCTCCACGATTATCGCCAAATTTAAAGTAATTCTCCTTATCTATATTGCCAGTCAAGGCATAGAGCAGGCGTTTGGAGCTTGTACAACCGACTTTAGGCATTGCACACAAAATCAAGCGGTGTCTGTCGTCAACGTACATCACGTGACTAAGCGGCCCTTTATTTGCAGTGCTGCCGTCTAGCGATCTATTTGTCTTTTGGCACGTGGCTTCCATATGATTAACTCGGCGTTTCATTTCTTCTCGCCAGGAGTCAGGAACGCTGGACCAACTGAAATGCTAGGGAATAATGTGTGAATTATTTAATTGCATTCATATGAAGATCAGTATGGGATATTTTTTCCGAAGCATTGTCTTTGAATTTTTCCTACTTTTTTTCCGATTTTAAATGAAAACAAGGGTTTAAGTCTTTTTTCAGTAATCAATCTTTGAAGTGTAAATGTGACATCAGTTCTTTAAATGAATTCATTTTATTAAGCAAACAAAAATGCATGGCTGATTCTAATTCATACCACAACCATTTAAAGCATCATTCCATATTTGCAAAATTATCATCTGTGAAAGAGTTATACGCCTCACAAAGGACGATCATATCAGTGTCTAGTCACAGCAAGGGTCAATGGTGCGTCTGGCCTCATCTGGCTGCTACTAGGGCTCTAAATCGGCGAAGTATTGCTTCTGACAAGATTTTTTGAAGTTTGAACTGGAATCATATTCAAGAAATTGATTGGGGCTGAATATCCTTGTATTTTCAGGTTTAGGTTTCTATAGATGACTACTACTGGGGTTTGGCACCAACGTGAATTCCGCCCCAAATACAGATGCTACCACCGGTTGTATTTGTTTCTCTGTAGCAGCAAAACTGTACGAAGAATGGATTCTGTTTCCCTATGGTAAGTTCTGGATGCCTTGGGCTTGGCCTCTGTGTAGGTACACTGGACTGGGCGTACCTCTGTAAGACTGTGCGGAGCGTTCCTTGTAACACAAATATCTGTCTGGCAATGCCTATCTGTTTTGCACCATTCTGGCGCATATCAACAATGCTGTATCACACAGCTTCACTCAGTTTTCGTACCGTTACATCCGCTGGTTGTATGCAAAATCCTTTGCCGAAATATTGAGACTTTTTTGGCTGAACCATGATCTGCCATAGTCATATTTAACACCAAAGAAACCATCACTCGTTACGTAAGGCAGCCGTGCTTCAGACAAGGTAGTCAGTTAATTGATATTGGTATAGCTGCCTATACAGATATATGTTTTCATAATTCACAAGTTTTAGAAATAAATTACACAGTTTTACCTTAACACATCTATGACACTATAATATTCCATATTAAATATCAAGTCTGTTTAATGACAAAACTGTTGTGCTTCAGCGGTTTCCCACAAATCAAGGTGCGTTTCTCATCAGCTGCTTCACTCCTTTAAAAATTCATTTTGCAGAAACCAAGTGAACATTCGATATAGTTAAAGATACAGTGATCATAAAAACTATATAAAACTACCTGACATTTAAGCCTTGGAGCTAACTGGACGCTACAAGAAACATTTTCTCTAATACAATGTGTTCACACATGTTGTAGCTGATTAAAACCCACCTGTCGTCTAAGTCTCGTATTTTCCTTACTCCCAAGTGACACTGTAAACAATAGATAATAAATCGTATGGAATATAACGCATGAAAATCATCCAAATCATACGATCTTTTACTTCCATTAGAAATAAGAACCAATTTATTGTTTTAGCTTCTACAGTATGCACACTTACTATTTATATTCCATTTAATAAGGTCCAAATATTACAAATGAGAGAGAGAGAGAGAGAGAGAGAGAGAGAAAGAAAGAGAGAGAGAGGTTGAGGGGTTCACGTACCTGTTGGTATAAACCCTGGAACCATAACATAGCTAATCACGACAAGGAGACACAACAACGTGAGAAATCTAGAGTAGAGTGGGAACTTGCATTTTGACCTCATCTTCCTATAAAAATTACTGAATCCGAGGATCTGATCTTTCAATTCACCACGTCTTACACCAAACACAACGTTGCCTGTCTTCAGTTTCAGGTTGGTTAATGAAACGTAGAGAAACGAAGAGAAAATCTGCGTAATGAGTAGAGTCAGCAATTCCATATTACGATCAACTTGTTAAGTTCAGTACTCCATAAGGCTTACCAGACTGAATAATCTCTTATTCAGCTAATATAAATCTGAGATGGTTTGCTGACGGACCCCGTGAAATTGAAATATAAAATCATCAAGATTAAGCGTTTGAAACGTGAAAATTAAAATGATCAATTATAAGTAAAAATTAAAATGAAACAGAAGTTAAATCGAGTACTACATGTGGCTAAAGGGTAATAATTCTTTATAACCCGCTTACTGTCTTTCAATGCAATGGATTCCAAATACCGTTTATTATGTGCTATATCGTTTTAATAATACCTGTATGGCCTGCGAATGTGCAATGTACCCCGCCGTTTCCACGTCGCTCTGCCGAATGGGTATTAAATATTTCAGTTTTTAATACGGGTCTTGTCGGTTTGACGTTAATAATTCATTCAAAAATGAATATGATGCATTTTTTTATATGCTGTAAGGTATTTCAGGATGATAAATCATAACATTTTTTTGCTATTTATATCCCATCTTGACGACCCATACACTCTCTACATCTACCGCTTTAAAGTGTTTAAATCATGGTTTACTACGAAAACGCCGATTATAGCAATTATTCTGGAATCTTTGCTTGCCATTGGACCACGTGACCTCCACAGATGGCCACCCTCTGTGAGCCTCTTAAGAGATAAGTATAAAAAAGTATATTTAGAAAAAAAAGAGACTTATTTAGAATGAAGGAATAGATTTATTCACCATTGGTAACAATGGAAAAGTCGGCGTTAACCCCAGGAAAATCTGTTTTTTGGCCAAAACGATCAGGGCTCGGAATCTCGAAAGGTTCGCTGTGTTGCGCACACGCTCTAGCATGGCTAGCGTGCGCTATCCCGTATCTCGAAAGATTCGCTATTTTGAGCGCCTGCGCTAGCATGGCTAGCGTGCGCTATCCCGTATCTCGAAAGCTTCGCAAATCCCGGCCGTGCGCTAATGTCCAAATCACCATTAGTTTCGAGGCTATTATTTGCGGCGATACAAACAAGACGCAAGTGTTTTTACGCATGCGTTCTTGGTCATTATATTGAAATTGTCATAGCAGCTAGTTTTGTTGTTGTAAGAGAAAAATGCCAGGAAAATGCTAAAAGAAGGTGTGTGAGACGTATAGATCCTATGGTAGAGTTCCAACCCCATATTTTTCATCAGAGATACCGCATGACGCAGGAGAATGTGCTCAAACTGACCAATATTATTGAAGAACCTCTGAAAAGACCGACTACGAGGTCTCGAGCACTGTCACCCACTACCCAAGTTCTTGCTGCTTTACGTGTAGGGCCTACTTGCATAGGATCTCTGAGTCTCACACACACTTCCATATTCTCCTTGTATTTTTCTCTAACTCTCAGTTGGATCATTTATGAATCATTGTGGGATGAATAAGGATTATTTTTTCATTAAATAAAAGTAAATAAAATAATGAAAACTGATTTTCTCTTTAAAATTAATGTTATATTTTATTATATTTTGCATATATTTTGCATATAATATTAAGAACTGAAATTTAAAATAAGTGTACAAAATGACAAAGGTGTACAAATTTGATTTAATATAACAGCTAGTTTTCATGCAGGAAATTTAATAACAATTTCCAGGAATCAAAAAGACTGATACTTTAAGTCAATTACTTTTGAAGTACACTTTCAATGCAAATAGGGCAAAATAAAATCACTTTTAAGTTTATGTAAGAAACAAAACAGACGGTCAAGTTATATTTTACATAATTTTTTTTTATTTTATGAAACAATAACATGATGAAACTATAAAATAAAATATAAAAATAATTTTATAAACAATTTCCTAAATGTATATTCTTGTTTAAATTAAAGTTAATAAGTACAATATAAAAATAACAAGGACAAAAGCACATGAAAACTATCCCTTATAAAAGATTTGTAACAAATTCCAGTTCTTTGCTGAGGTCATAAACTTAGTTTAAAATACAGTACTGAATGATCAAACTGATGCACATATTGGAAATTACTGAATGAAAAATACTCACCTTGAAAATGCTAATATGTGAAAAAATTAATATTTCACACATTCACAGACAAAAAAATTAATAAATAAAAATAATAATTTACCAAAATTAATTTGCTCTGGATGGTTTTGAAACAAAATATTTTAATAATTTGGAACGCTCCTTATGAAAGTTTGACAATTCCCTTGCAATGTGTCATTTGAATTGCATACAGTAATATGGTCCAATCCAAGTGATACTTAAAACAGCTAGTATGTGTCTTGGCAAAAACCTAAAATATCATGATCCCAATAAGATGCACTCACTGGTAAGTATCTACAAGAGACTCACACTTCAGTACATCCAACTTCACTTCACAGTATTCTGTTATTTTTTCAAATACCACTTTGTTACTTTTGTCAATTTCTAATCTCTCCCTTTCTTACTGTAAACGCACTTTTTCTACTTTCAACCTCTCCTCCTCTAATGCTAAGCAATCCTTCTCTAGGTTGTAGAGCCTTTCACTTACATCTGAAATTTGAAGATGTATGTAATTATAATAATTAAATATAAAATGATACAATAAGAACTCAATCTTTTCAATATTCTGAATTTTACAGATACTGTACTTTTAAATCACTGTGATAATTTTTCATAAATGAACATATTCCTGTTCAGTTGCAGCAACAGAAATGAAAAGCCGACTATGCGACAATGTTGAACACTTTCATAAGCTATATGTTTGAAATTACCAATTAAGTTTTTTTTGTTCATAAGTATAGAAATCAGTATAAATATATAGAGATATATGTATGTATAAAATATGCCTCCTGGTGACTGGACATTCCAATGGTACGTATGTCTGTGAAACTCAGTGTTGAAGTATTCATATTAAACAGAGTCTAAGTTAATTACTCTACTTCATATCATCTTGAGGTTCTTTAAGCAATTAAATATAAAACGAAGTTAGCCATTATGCAATTTAATATACAAATTCATTTTTAATAATAACAAAATAACACCTTCTTCTCCCACTCTGACAGACTGGGCCCCACACCATCACCTGTCTGCCGCACTGCTGCACGGCGTTTGGCCTCTTTGCGCTTAGTGCGAGACGTGAGGTCATGCCATTTTTTCCTGACCTCTCGGAAACTCCTCTTTATATGTGAAACACTAAAAACTCTAGAAGGAAAGCATTCATAATTTTAATAAAAAAAATATAAGAATCACCACTTTATTGCTTCATCATACATGTACATGACCATGTCAAGATGTGTTAATAGAGAGCAATTATAATTACTTTTATTGAATAACTACAACAACATACCAAACGAAATCATCAATAAGCAATAATTAAATATAATGGATATAATTTCACCTTGGCAAAACAGACTACGATTCACAGAAGAGGACTGTTAATCATAACCCAGACAGCCTCAATAATCTGGCCCACGTNATATGTACAGACACATCTGTGTCTGTACATAAAAAATATAAGAATCACCACTTTATTGCTTCATCATACATGTACATGACCATGTCAAGATGTGTTAATAGAGAGCAATTATAATTACTTTTATTGAATAACTACAACAACATACCAAACGAAATCATCAATAAGCAATAATTAAATATAATGGATATAATTTCACCATGGCAAAACAGACTACGATTCACAGAAGAGGACTGTTAATCATAATTTTCAACTTACTTTTCGGCAACTTCAGCTCATTGTTTTTCTTTGTTTTAAGAGTCACGGTGTTGGTGAAGGGGCTAAATAGTGTAGGTCTACACGAGACCTCCTCCACCAACACCGCGAGCTCATCGGTTTTATAACGCTCCCTACTGTGTTTCTCCATTTCACGTGCGATTTACTATCGTCCCGCCAAACAAAAAAGAACCGCTAGGCGTACGTGTGTTCGAGACTATAATTGTACTTCCGGGCAGGCATTTATTGCGTTGTGTTTGCTAAGGCTTCGAGATAGCAGGTGGGTGCAATCGCACTAGCAAATAGCGCACGCTAGCTATGCTAGAGCGCGTGCGCAACACAGCGATCCTTTCGAGATTCCGAGATCCCTTTAGATACAAATAGCAACTGAATGCCACGACATTGTGGTTTGGGGTAATTAACGAAGTTATAAGTTCAGTTAGATCAATGAAAAGGTATAAATTGAACCAGGCATCAAACGAACATGCATCTGTAAGTACAATTATTGTATGAAGTGTAAAAACCATTGCTCAAGTAGGAAACTCGTGCATAGCAGATTTCCGGGGTTGGGGACACATTCCCAAATAAAAAGATTAAACTTTGAAAGGAGTAAATACGTTCAGGTGTACGTGATTTCAACAAAAATGGGTGAAAATATTAATGGGCGTGCAATCATGTTTGGCAGTGCTTTTGACTTCTAAAAGGCAACGAGGCAGCAAAGCTGTCAAATGTACAGACAAAAAGCAGAAAATAATGATGCACATGATAGGTTATTTTGTCAGTTTTGAAGAAATTCAACATACAGCTAAACAACAAAATAAACACCAAATTTTAATTATGCACAACCATGTAACCATTGGTAAGTATGGGGAAACTGTTGTTTAACCCTGGAGAATGCATTTTTTGACAAAATGAACTGCTTCTATTTCTCTTCTGGCTGATTACATGTATTTCATGCTCTTAAAATAAGAAAAGATATAACAGGCCATTTATAACTTAGGCCATTGTTCATTATATTTTTGTATACTTTACCATGGGTACTAGTACTACTGTTATATAAACATTGTAATTTGGTTACTATGGGTCAGATGCCTAAAATTCCTGAATCAGGTGACAAAATTTAATCTTAACTTCTCAAATGACAATAAATTTCACATAATATTACAATATATATTAAAATTTTATTACAGTCATGCTGTGTTTTTTAACTGACAATTCCAGAATGAAGTCTAGGGAAGAGTGATCTTTCAAGCAAGAAGATAACATTTTCATTTAGGAGGGGGCAATTTATCCTAAAATTAATAAATAATCCTGAATAAGTGAATCCACTGAGTTTAAAACAAGTAAAACCCATACAGACATCAAAAGATTTTTGAAAACCACTTCTGATAAAATGTGTTCTCTTCAACTTTCTTTCTCCTCTCAGTCCCATAAGTCATAGCATACACTGAGGGTCCTGGACGTAAAATTTGGGCACTACCGAGGCACTCCTCTCCCTTGTAAAATGCCACATGCTGACCTGGAGTAATTCCCTTCACTGAGTCGGGACACGAAACTATCAAATAGTCATGCCCACAATAAGAGTTTGATGAAGCTAGAGTCATGGTACATTTTCGTAATTGTCCGCCATGATTCTGCTGGTACTCGCAGTCTAGCATTTCCGTCTCGACGAGCTTGAAGGGAATCTCGTGAATCCAGTGTGGAAGACGTGTGAAAAATGTCTGTGCAAATAATGCTGGATGGTCCTGGTTTGAGACCTGGTAATGATAATTAATAAGTATTATTGTTAGGAGACCTGGTAATGGTATTGAATGAATTTAACACCTATTGAAACTGAAATGCCAATTTCATGTAAATGCCCTTTGATCAGGGAGCAAAATGTTATCTAATGTGGTTAATCTTACAACAGTCCAAATGTATTTTTCAGTCATGCCGGTAGTTGCTAAAATAAAACATAATACATAATACATAATACACCTAATACACAGTTTACAAAATGATTCAGCATCATTTTTTCTTTCTTTTCAATTATTAAATTTAACAATACTGAAATTAAGAAATCTTACAAATAAACTCTACATCACAAACAGTATTTTCTAAGCAGATGTATGAGGAAAGAAATTAAGGGCAAATATCAGTAACAAACCAAGTGACTTACCACCATGATATCACATGTGTTAGAATCTACATCAGTTAACACTTCAGCTACATACATCTCCTCATTGTGTCCTTGAATGTGAACTTGTTGACCTACAGTCCAGGAAACAGCACCTAGAAAACAATAAGTCTGTCTTAGGCATGGCCATTGACTAAGAGCACCTGGTTATACAGCCATATCTCTAGCCACTCTCCCTGCTAATGTGGTTCATATCAAGATTACAACAAAGCAATTAATCAGCAATTAAACTTTACCATCATGTTCCCCAACTGTTTGACTTGTTTCCAGATCCACATATCTCCCTGGCTTGGGCAATTTATGCTAATTTTAAAATAAAGAAAAAGAAAGCTGATGTTATTAGAGAGAAATATGGTTCCATGTACAGACATGATCTTTGGTTGTAAAAAAGCTGGAAGAATTGACTCCGTTGCTTTTAGAAAGGTACTTTGGAGGCTGCATAAACTTTCTTGAAACTGCCAAATAAAAAAAAGCAGATTTCCAATTTAAAATAAATCAGAAAAAAAAATCATGTCTGTACCCTTGTATGTAACTGATGAAAAACCAAGACTTAAATTGACACAGAACTTAGTATTGTGACCATACAGTCAAAATAGACCTATTTATAATTATAATATGTTTTTCATCAATGTGTTAATGAAAATACAATTCAGCTTTATTACAAATTGAAAATTTATGCTTCATTGTAAATAAAATCTGAAATTGTGGCATTAAACTGGCATGTTAAGACACTAAATTGACTTGCAGGTTGCATATTTACAGTAACTTGCATTTTGAAAAAGACTGAAAAAAAATCAAAATTCCATATTTTCAAGTTAATGATGCTGTCACTTGAGGGAAACAAAATTTATTCTACTACTAACCTCTTTCACAAATCTTTGGAAACTGCTTCTCCCATAGGAACACAAAGAGGAATCCTACCATAACAAATAACTATAATATTAAAATTACAGTGAACCTGAATAAGTATATAGCTCTTATTGGTTTTCATAAACAATGCAAATCTTTATCCGTTAACACAAGCGAATTTTTTCTATGACGAAACATGACAGCCCAATGAATAGACAGACAGACAGAGCATAAAAATCATTCAAACTGGAATTTGAAAGATGTTAAAGTTTACATGAATAAACCCCAGGTAGTCATAAAACAGAAAACAAGGAAAAGATTGTTATTCCCATTCAATTATAAATCCTTTCAAAATTTTTTTAAATAACAGATGTCAAGCAATAAATGTACTTTCTGCATTTAATCAGTCTGTGCCAAAAATTTTGAGCCAACTGCCTCTTTAGGCCACCAAGCTTATGATTCTGTTGACCTAAACCAGAACACTAAGTAGTAACTTAACAGATCTTCAAAACTTTTGTGTATATACAATCCCAATATTGAATGACAGAATTTTATGTAGGGCTAGCATTTTAATGCTGTCCCCCAATTAAAATGCCACAGACTGTTTTAAACCAAATTGGACTTGCTTGGCAACCATTTCTGAATCACTGGGAATTGCTGTGGTACTGATGATAATTTTGCAGACTGCACCTGCATATAAACATACCTCTCCTTTTTTTACTATTGTGTCAAGGCCATTTTGAACAGCAATATCTCTGACAACTAGTGCGGGTAATTCGCCTACAGGAAACACCGTTTTCTGCAATGCTCTCTGGGAGACTTGTGACAAGGAATATGTTTGGTCTTTCAATTGCTCAGAGGCTCTCAGTAGTTTCACACCTGTAATAAAAAATGTGTCATCAACTTTCTCGTTACATTAGTTGCATTATTTATTTTATCAAATTCTAAAAAGATTATGTTGGAGTGAGCATATTTCCTGTACACTTTGTTTAATAATGATATGGCTTGGGTAAAACATAACAAAAATCCCATTATTCAAACTTCTTAACTTTTCCTAAATATTGATGTTTCAAAATAAAAATATTCATCATGTGCTCTTTTAAGAAACCTTCTTAACAAATTTTTTTTGGAAATTCAGATAAATATACAAGGCACAAGTTGCAACTGGAGGACATTCATTTACATTAAGACATCATGGATCACATTTTGAGAAAACTTAAGTAGCTCGAAACCAAAACTTAACCTCTTGCTGGATCAACATTATTCCTGATTATATCCTGTGTTAGCCTTGCACCATGTCCTGTGGCAAAACCATGAGCTTTTATGTCATTTAACACATGGGATATAAGAGTTCCGAAGGTTATATGCTTATTACACACAGCATCCAGGCTGGTGAGACCAAGGTTTTGATTGCCTTTAGTTGTCTCTCTGTAAAATACAAAACAAAAGCAAAATTAAATTTCAATTTTGAATGTAGGTAGTAATTATATCAAAATATTTCCTATTTTTGTCAAATATGAACTGCCTTGGAAGCTACTTTCAGAATGATGAGGTTGTAATGGAGGTGAAAAGAGCTTTTTTAAGTTTACAATGTAACTCGTGATTATTCATGTTTATACTAGGAAATGACAAGCATTCTGCATGAATAAATGTGGCTAAAAAATTGAGAAGGTAACTGGAAACCCCCCCCCCCCAATGGCACTACCAAAGCAACTCTTTGATTAGAAAATTTTCAGATTACAATATTCTTTTATGATAACAAATATGAAATAAATTTATGCTACTATCTTTTTAAAGGGCCACAGATAATTTTTCAAAGGATATTCACAGATATCTTGATCTCTGGCTAATTCTGAAGATTTCTGTAGTATCCAGTAATAATTTTGGCACAGACATATACAACTTCATCTCCTGGAGGCCTCTGGTGGAGAGGACATTTTTGGATGAAGTGCACTCAGTTAAGACTGGGTTCCTATGCCTAGATTGATCCATCTGGCTCAGTCTAACTCCCTGGGGAGTCTCACTAAATTGCTATCAACTTAACCGACTTAAATGTCTGTCACGCCTACCAAATCAGCTAGGGGCTAAAGATAATTACCCTCAAACAGCCTTACTAGGCGTGACAGACATTTAATCTGGTTAAGTTGATAGCAATTTAGTAAGACTCCCCACGGAGATAAATCAATCCAAATATCTGTGGGAATGGTCCCTAAGATTATACTGTCAATGTTCAAGGCAATTGAACTCCTTTCAAAGCTGACCTGAACACTTTGTCCCAATATTCTTTTGTCAGGTGCACTTCCTGCAGAGGTATTCCCAGCTGTTTGCAGACAAGGTGGGCATTTTCTGCTGCTTCTTCATTTTTGTCTTTAGACTCCCCACTTGGGTCGTCACTGACCAAGTGAACTCCACTGACTGTGAATCCTGAAAAATCCATACTAGTACAAGTTTTATCATACATCAAATCAATTTTTGTAAAATATTCATTTTGATATCCTGCATCTACAGTGTAGATGAGTGATGGAATTGTTAAAATTACAATACTAGAAAAGAAATATTTTAATAGATAGGATTTTCCAGAGTTTCTGTGTTTGTGACTATCAGCTTCTAAGTTCCACTTCGGCCGGTGCGAAAAGNAATACATAATACATAATACACCTAATACACAGTTTACAAAATGATTCAGCATCATTTTTTCTTTCTTTTCAATTATTAAATTTAACAATACTGAAATTAAGAAATCTTACAAATAAACTCTACATCACAAACAGTATTTTCTAAGCAGATGTATGAGGAAAGAAATTAAGGGCAAATATCAGTAACAAACCAAGTGACTTACCACCATGATATCACATGTGTTAGAATCTACATCAGTTAACACTTCAGCTACATACATCTCCTCATTGTGTCCTTGAATGTGAACTTGTTGACCTACAGTCCAGGAAACAGCACCTAGAAAACAATAAGTTTGTCTTAGGCATGGCCATTGACTAAGAGCACCTGGTTATACAGCCATATCTCTAGCCACTCTCCCTGCTAATGTGGTTCATATCAAGATTACAACAAAGCAATTAATCAGCAATTAAACTTTACCATCATGTTCCCCAACTGTTTGACTTGTTTCCAGATCCACATATCTCCCTGGCTTGGGCAATTTATGCTAATTTAAAAATAAAGAAAAAAAAAAGTTGATGTTACTGGAGAGAAATACGGTTCCATGTACTGACATGATCTTAGGTTGTAAAAAAAGTTGGAAGAATTGACTTCACTGCTTTTAGAAAGGTGTTTTGGGGCTGCTTAAACTTTCTTGAAACTGCCAAGAAAAAAGCAGATTTCCAATTTAAAATAAATCAGAAAAAATCATGTCTGTACCCTTGTATGTAACTGATGAAAAAACCAGACTTAAATTGACACAGAACTTAGTATTGTGACCATACAGTCAAAATAGACCTATTAATAATTATGATATGTTTTTCATCAATGTGTTAATGAAAATACAATTCAGCTTTATTCGTTGTAAATAAAATCTGAAATTGTGGCATTAAACTGGCATGTAAAGACACTAAATTGACTTATGGGTTGCATATTTACAGTAACTTGCATTTTGAAAAAGACTGAAAAAAAATCAAAATTCCAAATTTTCAACTTAGTGATACTGTTTCTTGAGGGAAACAAAATTTAAGCTATTACTAACCTCTTTCACAAATCTTTGGAAACTGCTTCTCCCATAGGAACACAAAGAGGAAGCCTACCATAACAAATAACTATAATATTAAAATTACAGTGAACCTGAATAAGTATATAGCTCTTATTGGTTTTCATAAACAATGCAAATCTTTATCTGTTGCACAAGCAAATTAAGTTTTGTGTGATGAAACATGACAGCCCAATGAATAGACAGACAGACAGACAGACTTACTAGTAAAACTGTAACAGATAGTAGCCAACAAAGTATAAAAATCATTCAAACTGGAATTTGAAAGATGTTAAAGTTTTCATAAATAGATCCCAGGTAGTCATAAAACAAAAAAATGAGGAAAAGATTGTTATCCCCACCAAATATAAACCCTTCCCAATCTTTGTTTTAAATACTAGATGTCAAGCAATAAATGTGCCTGCCATATTATATCAGTATGTGCCAAAAACTATGATCCAACTGCCACTTTAGGCCACCAAACTTATGATTCTGTTGACCTAAACCAGAACACTAGGTAGTAACTTAAAATATCTTCAACACTTTTATGCATACAAAATCCATGTGTTGAATGATTGAATTTGATGTAGGGCTAGAATTTTAATGCTGTTCCCCCACCAAAATGCTGGCCCCCAATTAAAATGCCACAGACTGTTTTAAATCAAATTGGACTTGCTTGGCAACCATTTCTGAATCACTGGAAATTGGCGTAGTACCCATGATAATTTTACATACTTTTTGTGGACTGTTCCTGCACATAAACATACCTCTCCTTTTTTTACTATTGTGTCAAGGCCATTTTGAACAGCAATATCTCTGACAACTAGTGAGGGTAATTCGCCTATCGGAAACACCGTTTTCTGCAATGCTCGCTGGGAAACTTGTGACAAGGAATATGTTTGGTCTTCTAATTGCTCATTGGCTCTCAGTAGTTTTACTCCTGTAATAATAAATGTGACATCAATTTTATCATTACAAGTAGCACTATTGATATATTTTTTCAAATTCCAAAGCAATTATGTTTAAGTAAGCATATTTTAAAACTGGTTTCCTGGAGATTTTGTTTGATGATATGGCTTGGGTATAGCACAACTAAAATCATATCATTCAAACTAGTTTACATTTCCTAATTATTGATATTTCAAAACAAAAATATTCATCATGTGCTCTTTTGTGAGCACTCCATGTCTTGCACAAAACTTTAAAAAATTCAGATAAATTAAACAAGCCACAGATTGTAAATGGGTACATTCATTTACATCAGACATTACAAATCAAAATTTGAAAATACTCAAGTAGTTTGAAACCAAAACACAACCTCTTGCTGGATCGACATTATTCCTGATTATATCCTGTGTCAGCCTGGCACCATGTCCTGTGGCAAAACCATGAGCTTTTATGTCATTTAACACATGGGATATAAGAGTCCCGAAGGTTATATGCTTGTTACACACAGCATCCAGGCTGGTGAGACCAAGGTTTTGATTGCCTTTTGTTGTCTCTCTGTAAAATACAAAACAAAAGCAAAATTAAATTTCAATTTTGAATGTAAGTAGTAATTATGTCAAAATATTTCCCATATTGAACAAATAAGAACTGCCTTGGAAGCTACTTTCAGAAGGATGAGGTTGCACTGGGGGTAAAAGAAAACCACTAGCCTCATTACCTTAAGAACAAGTCAGTAACTGATCTTCAGTGATGTAAACAAAGTAATAAGTACATAATATAGATATTAAATTGATATATAAAGGGCAGTGAGAGGCTAACTGTGAACGTGTGTTAGATGTGAGAGGCTATCAGAAGAAGTGTGTCAGATGTGAGAGGTTATCAGGGATAAACATATTATATGTTAAAAATGTTATTTTAAGTGCTACAATGTACCTCATAATTGTTCATGCTAAAACTAGGAACTGACAAGCTTTCTGCAAGAACAATTGCGGCTGTAAAGATAATAACTGGTACACCCCCTCCCTGCAAGAGCCCCGCCAGAGCAACTCTCTGATTAAAAAATTTTCAGATTACAATATTCTATTATGATAACAAATATGAAATACATTTATGCTACCATCTTTATAAAGGGCCACAGATAATTTTTCAAAGGATATTCACAGATATCTTGATCTCTGGCTAATTCTATGAAGATTTCAGTAGTACCCAGTGATAATTTTGGCACAGACATATATGACTTCATCTTCCGAGTGCCTCTTTTGGAGAGGGCATTTTTGGATAAAGTGCACATAGCTAAGGCTGGGTTCCCATGCCTAGATTAATCCATCTGGATCAGTCTTACTCCCTGGGGAGTCTCACTAAATTGCTATCAACTTAACTGACTTAAATGCCTGTAACGCCCACCGAAAAGCTAGGGGTTATAAAGATAATTACCCCCAAAAAGCTTTACTAGGCGTGACAGACATTTAATCTGGTTAAGTTGATAGCAATTCAGTAAGACTCCCCAGGAAGATAGATCAATCCAAATATTTGTGGGAATGGTCCCTAAGATTATACTGTCAATGTTCAAGGCAATTGAACTCCTTTCAAAGCTGACCTGAACACTTTGTCCCAATATTCTTTGGTCAAGTGCACTTCCTGCAGTGGTATTCCCAGCTGTTTGCAGACACGGTGGGCATTTTCTGCTGCTTCTTCAGGTTTGTCTTTAAACTCCCCACTTGGGTCATCACTGACCAAGTGAACTCCACTGACTGTGAATCCTGAAAAAACCATACAAATTTTCATAAATCACATCAATTTTTTTTTTTAATATTCATTTTGATAGGTATATCACAATCTGCCAGGGGCGCCACAGTAGTAACTATCCTGGGGCAGCGAAGTGCAAAACCGAGACTGGCCTGCTAACAGCTCGTCTATGACATTCCTTTTTTAAACCTCTCTTTTAGCGCCTTGTAAATAAACTAATAAAAGCCATTTACTAAATAAGCTGTACTCAAAGAGTAAATTCCGGTCATGTGATTTTTCTGTGTTGCAGTCTTAGAGAACTTTGATTTGAGGACGTTTCAAAGTTTTGCCTCGACAAAATGTTTACAATATCATATAAGCACTGCATGGAAGTTTTTGTAATTTATGCCATGTAAAGTTCATGAAATTTGCAATATTATGGCGAAAAATCATGAAAATTGAACCATGCGAAGTATAGTTTATTTGATGCGCAATATTTATAGTACATGATCTGCACGGAAGCCATGTGCTTGTGCGATTGCCAATTTGGTTTTGTTTCTGGGTCATTAGATTAACATAGAGCCCTAATGGCCCTAATTGGTCACAAGCAATTTGAGCTGCAGCTATAGATGAGTGATCACTGCTGTCCAGTGGTCACAGCTACAGTACAGTAGGTTTTTAGCTGAAGAGTGTGGACACATTCGGTGAATTTTTGCAGTTAAAAAACTTCAATATCTTTGTTGCTTATAGGAATATTTTAAAAATTCCAAAAGATTTCACCCGTTTTTTTTTTTTTTGTATTACCTTTCAGAAGATACAAGTATGATAATTTTCTGATCAGTTTGAAAAATTTTCTGATACAAAATGTACCTAATTTTGATATCCTGCATCTCAGAGTAGAAGAGTGATGGAAATATTAAAATTACAATACTAGAAAAGAAATATTTCAATTGATGGGATTTTTCAGAGTTTCTGCGTTTGTGACTATCTGCTTTTAAGTTCCACTTCGGCCGGTGCGAAAACGCAAATTATATAACGTGTACATGTACTACTAGTCTACTGGATTTCTTTCAAGGCCAACGCAAACGTCCAACTTCTCACCTTTACTTTTCAATAAAAAAGCCGCAACAGCACTGTCCAATCCTCCTGACAAAGCACAAACTATATGCTTTGTTGATCTCAACATCTCACACGTAAATATGCTTTAAAGCGTTAGAAGACTAACATTGTCTACCCTTATGTTATGTCACAGCATAAAGAAGTAGGTCAGCCGGTGTTATGAAAGTAAACCGGAATTGATGATTTTTTGTATGGGGAGTTCTGAAATTGTTAAAGGATGTGACGTCAAATCTGCGCAATCTATTACTGCGCATGTAAACATTTATAACAGGATGGCGTCTATCTTGGCAAGAGGTGGGACATTTTTGCGTGGGACAGCTATTCGACAATGTCAAAAGGTAATTTAAGCTGTCAGTTGATAGATGACTCCTAGTGCCCTATGAATGTCAAAGAATTCGATTTTTAAAATAATTTTTAAATATTTTATATTGAATTTATATACTGTGCTATGTACGTCTGTTCGCTCTCCTTGACATTTCAACTTATTTGCAATAAGCCGAGTTATTTCGAAATATCTTATTTTTCCAGTGTTTCTTATACTGTGAAAAATCAAATTATATACGCAGTGATAAAACTATTACAGATCGGAAGGTCTGTGTTTTTTTTTAATCTGAAATTTAACTTTGTTAGATTTGCTAAATAATTTTCTTTTGAAACGTATTTTGATAAATATATCAAGTGTGGAACCTTTAAGCACGCATTTGGGGCCGCGCATTTGTGTGCATTTGGCATTTTTTCAAGGTCAAAACATCACGATGTAAACTGCGTCTAGGTTTTCTCAACTCAGTTATTGGCTATTTGACCAAGATTGCAACACTTTTCACTTTTGAGTGAAATTATTTGACAAGTTATTGAAGTAATAATGCAGTTAACAAAAAGTTTTGTTGTGTACCCTCATAAAGTTTGTACATATGTAGCCATTATGCTTTCTGTTAGAATGAAGCACCCACAAATCATGTCAAATATCACATGGGGTTTCTGATTATGCAACATAACCTCCAGTTAGCTTCTTGTAAGTTGATCATATTCAGCATTTTCATTCAGGAAGTCATTTTTTTATGTTTAAACCATTTGTAATTAGATAATTTAGTTCTAAATGACTGGCCAGTCAATATTTAGAACCCATTGTTTTTCTGTACATTTCAGAAGGATATATCAACATAGGATATTTTCTTTAATTGTTCTTTAAGAAATGAATTGGCCAATATTAGTAACTAAGCAGAATATACCTAGACAAAGAAAATCTGACTTTGGGATATTTGAAGACAAAAGATAACATACTTTTTAATGATTTGAAGCATTAAGAATAAGTTTTATTAACTTGAGTCTGACAAGCAGTTTTAACCTGGGACCTTGCAGATGTTGGGAGTGACCCCCGGCTTGGATGGCCACCAGCAGTCAAGGCACCTTTCCATCCATGAACACCAGAGCATGACCTTTCTGCTAAATCAAGGAATCAGTGTCCCAAAGTTCAAAGTAGCAAAAAATGGCGAAGAAGTATATGCAATAGCTAAAGAGCTAGGTATACTATCGTTTTGAGCAGCACATTTAATTTTGATTTAGGAGTTTGAAGTTAAGCTATTTTGTCCAGATCAAACCTGAAACAGTGAACAGAAATTGAATGCAGTTTTTAAAATTTTACTGGTTCGGCTTTAGTTTTACTAGCACTTTGCTTGGAGCCAGTAGTAACATCTTAAAGTGCTTAAATCATCTCTTGGGTCATTTCCAGGAAAGACCACGGACAGCACAGATGTGGTGGTCAAAGCCCAAGTGCTGGCTGGTGGACGAGGCAAGGGAGTCTTTGACAGTGGACTCAAGGGAGGGGTCAAGATTGTTTTCTCGTAAGTTTTTTTTTCTCTTGCTTTGATACTGTGCAAGCATTAAAATTAGCGAAAGAAATTTTACATAGAGTTTGCATTTCCCCACCCCTTCACCCCTTCCTCAGATTTATATTAGGGGTGGTTGGAGGCCGTCTTGTGGGTCTTCTGGAAGAGGGTCAGAATTTTTCAAGTTTACATTGACTGGCATCTTATTTTTTCTGTTGGAAGATGGTAAAAAATAATGGAATACGGATCAACAAAGATAATATTTGGAAGACTGTCAGAATATCTCGATTTGTCCCCTGCATATATGGAAGTTGACATGGATATAAACTTTTATAAGAAAATAGATTAGTTAGATTTTTCAAAATTATTTCAAAACACTGCATAGATTTAGATGACAAGATATTTCCACATCATTGCAGTTTATGTTTGTTAGAATACAAGAAATGTTTGGCATCTGACACATGAGAGGATTTAAGCACCCACAGTGGGTTAATATAGTATACCAGATAAAGATAAAATCATCATTAATGGTATAATGTTTATTATTATAATTATGGATCTTTCTTTTCTGAATAGAGCTGAGGAGGCTAGAGACCTAGCCTGCAAGATGATAAACCACAACATAGTCACTAAACAGACAGGAGAGGCAGGTCGGCCCTGCAAGGAAGTCATGGTTTGTGAGAGGTTATATTCTAGGAGAGAATGCTACCTGGCCATCACAACGGACAGAGCTTATGGGGTAAGTGAGAATTAGCTTTGGGGGAAGGAAGACATATGCAGCTCTTGGGGTAAGGATAATAAATGGCACATACGTAATATATGTGAGATTTGGTGTCAAGGCAATCAAGATGTTGTTTATGGGATATAGATAATTCGTAGCTTGAGGATACTTAAGACAAAGCTTATGAGATAGTAGTGTATGGGGTAACTAAGAAAAATAAGGATATGAGAAGTAAATTTCAGTGTGTCTTAATCTCTACTGATAATGAATACAAAACATTTACAGTGTTATTTCTTACCAGATATAGCTCACTTGAGGTTTTATAATTTAGCCATTTACTGAGGGTGATGATAGTGTAGGGTAAAAAAATATGTCAGTTTATTATTAATTTGTTTCATTGATTTGATCATGTGCTGTATCTAGGGACCAGTGATAGTAGCCAGTGCTGAGGGCGGTATAGATATAGAAGAATATGCCAGGGAACATCCACAGGGAATTATTAAAGGTACTTATGAAATGAGCGTGGTGGAGGGTGGATTCTCCCAAACACACATAAATCACTTGTACTAGTTTCTTATATGATAAACTAAATAAATCATTCCATAAACCATAAAAGAGCTTTAAACTGCTCCTGTCTTTAGATTTTTGGTTATGAAATTGAATTTAACCTACTGATTTTACCGTCTTATCTGCCCCATTTGTATACAGCATAGAAAGCTAGCTGAAAAATCTGTTCAAATGTAATTTTTCGGGTAAAATGGTAAAATTAAATGATGTCTTTTGGTAATTATACTATTTGCTGGCATATAGTTTCAAATAGTAACTAATTGAAATTATATGCTGAAATTTGATCAGCTTTTGTGGCAAAAAAATTGACTTCATATACATCTTTAAAGAACCTATTGACATCACTACTGGAATCCGGAAAGAACAGGCTCTCTCTGTAGCTGGACAGCTAGGATTTTCTGAAGAAAGGAAAGAAGAGGTAAATACAGGATTTTCTTTGCTGCGTATTTAGTGTATTGGTATTAGGTTCTCTATGGGTGGGTAACTGAAGTTAGATTATACAAATTTGTTTATATCGAAGCCTATGGTCTTTCTTTTATTCAATTTGGTTATCAAAGAGGGAACACTGTTAACCTGAGCTTCAACAACATTCTTTGCCAATAATGTTTACTGTACATTTGGAAGTATGAAGTTATTTATTAATGAAGTAAATAATTCAAACCTCTTTTGTTCACAAAAGTGATGTTTTGATTTGTAGTTATAAAGTAGATGATAAAAGTTTTCTTTTTTTAGTGAAAAAGACTCCAAACAGACTCGACTTTGTAACCTAATGGTAGAAGTACTTTAAAAATATGTGATATGTTCTGGCAAGGCTAGCATCCAAATAGTAAAGATCTCCCTAATTCTCTTCCAGGCAGCAGATTATATAATGAAATTGTACCACATGTTTTTGGACCTAGATGCCTCTCTTATAGAAATTAACCCTTTAGCTGAAGATATAAAAGGCAAAGGTTAGTGCATATTGTGTTAATTTTACAATAGTTACTTAATTGAGTGATTTAACAGATGCAGTTTTCAACCTCTTTTTAGTTGTTATATGTTTGCTAAAACCCAGTTAAAATCTATTGAAACCTGCTGGTTTGATTCCTGGGCAATGATTACAACATTTTATTCAAATTTAAACCAGTTTCTGAAAAATAAAATTACTTTAGTGAGTAGCACTTAAGTTGTTAAAAAAGTTTCAGACGTTCAACTTGTGCTGTAGTAGAGATGATCCTAATTCAGTTTAAATTCTTTGGTATGTTTTGATTGACCAGAAATTTTGACTTCAGAGTACTTTTGTGAAACAAAGCCTTGCATTCATCCATTATTAGTAATTCCTCTTTCATTTTCAGTCTACTGTATGGACTGCAAGATCAACTTTGACGACAATGCCAAATTTAGACAACAAGAGCTTTTTGGACTGCAGGATTGGTCTCAGGAGGACGAGAGAGATTACAAAGCTCATCTGGCTGATCTCACTTACATTGGCCTGGACGGGGATATTGGTTGCCTGGGTAGGTTGTCATTTTAATAGCAAAGATTGATATTAAAATTGGTCAGCATTTTTGATTTTTGACAAATTTTTAAGTCAGTTTAGATGTGGCTGAACATATTCAAAATAATTTGGTAGTTTTCTTGAATTTGAGGGCTTGTTTTGATGAGGAGTTTGACCAGTATGGATTCTCACAATAATGATAATAATAATTGATCTGATAATATAGTCTGAACTGTGAGAGACTTACTATTTTATATTAAAAAGAATAGAAAAAAAAAGAAAAAAGAGGTGAATTCCTGTGTCTATTGATGAATGAAAATTAAGACATTAGACCAATAAAAGTGGCTCCTATATTTTGTAGTAAATGGTGCTGGACTAGCTATGGCTACTATGGACATTATTAAGGTGCACGGCGGGGCTCCTGCCAACTTTTTAGACATAGGAGGTGGGGCATCTGTGGAACAAGTGACGGAGGCCTTCAAACTCATCACATCTGATCCTAAGGTGAGTTCTGTCGCTGGGCTTTTAGTGAAACAGGACAGAAAACAAATGAAAGAGCTTATAGAGATTGGGTTGTTAGTGCAAAAACTATGTGTAAGCAAGTTTTTGGCATTAAATTAGGATAAGAAGTAATACACTAAAACAAGGGTAAGGCATCCATGTGAGCGCTGCATTGTTAAGTCTGTGGCTACAAGGAGGCACTTGTGATGATTTTCAAGTATGAGATTTTTCTGACTCTCAGCAGATCTCCCACTTCTTGGCAGTAAAAAAATCCTTGTCCCAGGTGCCCCCCTGGAATCCATGCCATATTTTCTGGCTTTTTTACTAAATGGAAGTAGTAATGGAATGGTGGGGAGTGTTTAGCCCCTGTACATCTTAGATGAGCTTTCTGAATCTTGACAAATTGAAATATGAAACCCTTTTCTTCTCCCCCTCCCCCTCCCCATCACCTCCCCCCCCCCCAAAGGTCTGCCACACACATTTTGCCCTTCCATTTCATCCAAGATTTTTGCCCTCACATTCTTTGATATTCCAGAACTGCCATTGAGTTAGTAATCACAATTATAAGCTATTTGTTACTTTTATTTTCCATATTCCTAAGGTGCGAGCTATCCTGGTGAATATATTTGGTGGAATTATGAGGTGTGATATCATTGCCCAGGGCATCATAGAAGCTGCTCAAACTCTTCAGCTGAAAGTGCCTATTGTTGTAAGGTTACAAGGTAAGGTTACTGCCAGATTCCATACTTGCTAGTTTTTAAAGGTAAAGAGGATTTTTTTCAAAACCTAATTCTTAAGTATGTAGTTAACCTTTGACACATGTACTGAACTAAACCGACTTCAATTTGCTAAATAAAAATTTTCCATATCCAGTTAGTTGACTGTGTATGATATTAAAATATTTTGAAGGTAATTTAGAGGTTTGTTATTGGGTTCCTTTTAAAGAAGTGATGTTTTATAAAATGTAAAGCCTAACATTACAGTATGCTTTATTTCCAATAATTTTGTATTTCAAACACAATAATTTGTTTTCCCTAGGCACAAGAGTGGACGATGCCAAGATGTTGATCGCTAATAGTCCACTAAGAATACTCGCTGATGATGACTTAGACAGTGCTGCCAAGATGGTGAGTGACTGTTTCTTTTTTATTTGATTTGTAATGAAATATATTTCAGCAAAGGCATTCATATTTCTAGTAAAATTGCTAGTAACTAAACAGGTGGATGCAGAGAGTGTGAAGAAATTTATGTGAAAAATTATTAAAACTTCACATGGTAGGATTTGCATTCTTTGGCCTTAAATGTGCAGCAAATTTTGGGGAATTAATTTCAGCAAATATTATTGAGTTATGGATAATATAATTTGCAAGAACCTTTTGAAACAAAACCTGTATTTTGCAAAGGGCTAGGAAGTGACTTTCATGCCATAGATCAATCTGTCCTATCTGCCACAAGGAAAATGAAGCAGGTTCCTGTACAGACTCATATATATCCTTGGTTTTGTTAGACGAATGCAATTAAAATAGTTGTGGACTCCAAAGTTGGGATTCCATGTAATTTCTCTAAGCATAGGAAGTATTATGTTAAATACATAACCCCTGTCTTTTGTGTAGTCACAGCAGGGGTCTTGATTGTTCAGAACTTTAAAAAATGTCAAATGACATGTTTTAACATGCTGTTTGACATTTTTTAAAAATTTAAATTTAAAAATTAAAAAATTTACAAGACATTTGAATGCAAATTCTAACAATATTGTGTTTATCATTTCAGGCAGTAAAACTGGCCAATATTGTGGGGCTCGCACAAGAAGCCAGGGTCGATGTACAGTTTGAGCTGCCAATATAACACAAACTCTTAGCAATAAATTTACTCACAATTTATTTGCGAACAACCTATGTATAAGCTCATTGTGTGGTCAGTCAGTCAGTCATTAGTACCACCAGCGTGTACGCTGGCGGTACTCATG